GGGGGGGATCAGGGGGGGCACCGGTTGAGCCCCACCAATGCGCTTCCGGAAGGCGCCTTCACCCTTCCTGCAGGGAGAGGCTTCAGAAGGGGGGGGATGCAGCCGTAGGGAAACCCCCCCACGCACCCGAAACAGGCGCTGGGATCCCCAAGGGGGCGCAGGCGGAGGACTGGGGAGGGGGGTCCCCTTTTTTAGCACGGGGGGACGCGGTGTCCTCCCAGCCCCCACCTCTCGCAGGTGCAGCACTCGCAGCGCTCGTTGTTGTCCCCAAAGAAGCTGTCCCCATAGAAGCAGGTGATCTCGTCCTGCGGCGCGATGTCCCGCAGCACCTGCACCCGTGCCACGTTCCCTTCTGCAGGCACAAACTGGGGGGGGGGGGGGGGGGGGGGGGGGGGAGCTCAGGGGCTCAAAACAAACCCCCCCAACCCTACAGGCACCCCAAATCCCCACCAGTGGGGACCCAGCACCCTAAATCTACCGTTTGGTGGCCCCCGCTCCCAAAAACACGCCCCTCCCAGCCCCACGGGTGTCCCAGAACTCCCATTATGGGGACGGAGCACCCCCAAATCTCTGCACCCCCCCGCAGTTTGCAGCCCCCTCACCTTGCAGTTGGGCCGGCAGTCTGAAACAGGGGAAAGCAAGAGCATCGATCAGCAAGGAGAGCCGGTGGGGGGGGAGGATGCACTTGGGTGGGATCAGGAGATAAGTGAGGGCGCCCTTCGGGTTCAGAAGGCTTGGGGTCCAGGGAAGGGGGAGAGATGGGGAGGAAGATGGCGATGGACTGGGGGGGCAGGGTTTGGACGCCGGGGGCTCACCGTGGTTGATGAAGGCAGCAGGGCCCAGCCAGAGCTGGGCACACTGCTTGCGCGTGGAGTACATGATACTGAAGTCGTTCTCCCCCGAGCGCAGCAGCGCCTCGTCGTGCGCCCGCAGCTCAGCAATGCAGCCCACCAGCAGCTCCAGCGTGTCGTTCTTCTGCCTGCGAGGTGTGCGGGGGGGTCAGGGAGGGCCCTCACATGGCAGAGACCCCCCAACCCACCTCAGAAGGTACCAGGTGCGAGTGGAGACCACGCGGGCTCCGTTGGTCTCCTGTGAGTAGCGGCTGCAGGGCTGGATGGCGAAGCCGCTCTCAGGAAGGAAGATGCGCAGGTAGTGGAAAACCTGGGGGGGGGGCACGCAGGGGGAGCCGGTGGGAAAACCCCCACCCAAACCCCAGCACGATCGCCCTCAGAGACCCCCAGCATCAGCCCCCAGCCTCCGGCCATAGGGATCACCCCCACACGACCCCAGCGTGAGCACCACCAGCTCCCCTCCCTTACAACCCGGATGTCGCCCCCATCCAAACCCCAGTGCGACCCCTCCCCCTCCTCTTGCGGACGGCAGGACCGCCCCCATTTAAATCTAAACCTCGCCCCCCCCCCCCCCTTACGCTGCCACCCCGCTCTGAACCCAATGGGACGCACCGGCGTCCCACCACCACGTGACCCCCGGCGCCCCCCTCACGTGACTCCCCACCACCGCCACCACGTGACCCCCGGCGCCCCCCTCACGTGACTCTTAAGCGCGGCGCGTTGCAACGGGCGCCGCCGTTGGAAGAAGGCCGCGGCCCAGGCCCCGCTCAGCGCCCGCCACGCCGCTTCTAGGTCCCGCCGCCTCCGGAAGCCTTCAACCGCTGCCCTCAGGAGGTGCTTCCGCCGCAGGGCGGGGAGGGGGCTGCGACGGCAACGGCAATGGCTCCGGGACCGCTCCACAACGCGGCACGCCTCGGTGCTAGCCTAACGCCCACCACCTCCTCCCCATAAGAGGAATGGGGCGCTGGGGATTCCCCATCGTCTTATGGGGCTGGGACAGCGGGGACCCCCCTGCTAAAGAACGGAGCGCTTCAGGATCCACGCCCTTAGGGATAGGGGGAGGCTCGAGAATGGAGCTCAGTGGGGAGACCCGTCCTGCAGACGAATGGAGCTTAATGGGGCGGCCCCGTTCCAGGAATAGGGCGGCCCGGGGTTCCCCCTTTTAGGACCGAGGCTCTCGGAGACCCCCCGGCTCTGCATCGCAGGGCTCTGAGGGAACCCTCCTTTCTCAAAACGGGGCACTCCGGGACCCCCGCCCACCTGACGCCCATTTTGTGTGTGCGGAAGCCCAGCACGGAGTCCAGCACCAGGCTGGTCGCCAGGTCATCGATCTCGCACAGCTCCCGCGCTGTCAGCCGCCGGGACCCCATCGCCGTTCCGCGCGGGGCATCCTGCGGGAGAGGTGTGGGGGAGGGGGGGGGCCGCGCCCCCACCGCCCCAATGGCTCTTTGTCTTCGTACCGTAATGCTTCGAGCGGCCGCGCCCTCCCTGCTCCCCCCCGCTGCCGCGAGGCCGGCCGACTGCGCCGTAATCCGCCTAATAGCGGCGCACGCAGATATGGGGAGGGGGGGAGACCCTCAGTACCGTAACACTCCCAATAGCGGCCGCACCTTCACTGAGAAATCCGGATCCAGCGTTCGGTCCTGAGCCCTGAGAGCGGCGGGAGGAGCCCGGGAGCTGCGCGGATCCGGGCCGGGCCTCCCCTGCTCCTCCCGCTGCTCCGCCGCTGCTCGCGCCGCCACGCGCCTCCGCCCGCCTTCTCTCCTCATTGGCCGCACGCCACGTGCGCCCGCCCGCCCTCTCTCCTCATTGGTGAAGATCCCTACCGCCCATCGCGACCATTGCTTGGTGGTGCTGTCAGTCTTACGCCACCGGCCCGCCCCCCCGCTGAGGTGCCGGCGGCTCCCATTGGCAGAGAACAGCTGCGCCACGCCTGATTGGTTCGGCTCCACGGCTCGCTATTGGCCGTCAGCCACTCCATTCTCGTAGGACCGCCTTTTTCCGGTGTTCTCCACCCCTTTCACTCTCCATTGGCTGCTTGAGGTGTCGATGTCAGCGCCCCTGCCACCCGCAGTCTTTTATTGGCTGAGGGAGCGTAGGGAGGCCCTCCTCAATCAAGATGGCGGCTTGCGGGGTGGTTGCGCTGCTCTGAGGCGCTGCGAAAAGGTGATGGCGGGGGTCGGAGGCGGGGGGGACCCCCGGGAGCCTCCCCGGAACCTTCAGGGCCTCTTAGAGATGGCGGTAGCGGCCACTGGGCCTCAAACGGAGCCTCGTGAGCCGATGGGCGAGGAGGTGAGAGTGGGCTTAGTGGGAGGGAGGGGTTCTGGGGCCGCGCTGAGGCCTGCGGGCCCCCCAGCATTGAGGCCTCTGTTCCGTCTTCCGTTATCTCAGCGGCAGCGGTGGCTGCGGGCGGCCGTGGCCGAGGCTCTGGGAGGCACCGGGCAGGAGGTGGAGGAGCTGCGACGCTGCCTGGAGGTGTTGGCCCGGCCGTGTCCCGGGGAAGAAGCGGCCGAAAGGGGCCCGGGAGAGACGGCGTCCCACGAACGGGCCTTGGAGGTCCTGGCAGAGCTGTGCGAGAGCCTCGATAACGCGACAGGTGGGGCTTACGGGGTGTGGGCTGTCCTGGGGCGTTTGGGGTGTGTGAGGTGAGAAGTGGTGGCTTTGGGGGGTCCTGGAGTAACCGGGCGGGGTCTTGAGGGCTGCTGTGGGGACTGTGGAGCGTGGGTTGCTCGGCTGGGAGATCCGGGAGATGTTTTGGGGAGGGTGCTGGGTGTCTGTTTGCTTTTTATCTAACAGGTGGTACCGAGTTGTTCCCCTCAATTCTTCCCTTCTTCCTTAGATTTCTGTGCCCTCGGAGGACTGGAGGTGGTGTTGGGGCTGCTGGGACATCCGTGGGCCCCTCTGCGTGCCGGGGCTGCTCGGGTGGTGGGGGCGTGTGCCCAGAACCTACCGGGAGCCCAGGGGAGGGCGCTGGCACTGGGGGCCCTTCCTGCCCTCCTGGAGTGTCTGCGGGGCGACCCAGATCCCCGTGTGCCCCCCCGTGCCCTCTTTGCTGTCTCCTGTAAGTAGAGACTCGAGTGAGTTTGGGGATGTAGGGGGTGGGTTGGGTTCTGGGGTTCCTAGAATAAGGGCTTGAGGGGGGCTGGGGATCCCAAGAGGGATTTTCAGAAAGGCGGACCCCCTTTAGCTGTCCTCAAAAGTATTTGGGCACTTGGAGACCAAAGTGCCCCCTGCATCCCAAAGGCTGACCCTGTGCCTTTCTCTCTCCCCTGTGCCAGGCTTAGTGCGGGCTCAAGCTGAGGGCCTGGCCCAGTTTGAGAGCCTAGGGGGACTGGAGGTGTTGGGTGGGGCCCTGCAGAGCCCCCAGGCCCCTCTGCGTGCCCGAGCTGCCTTCCTGCTGCACAGCCTGTTGCGTGAGCACCCCCACCTCAAGGGTGAGTGCCCCGCACCTCGCCCCCCTCAGGGCCCCTGGCAGACACCCTTCTCTCCCTAGGGCCTCCTCCCAGACACTCCACTCAGCATTCCCCTAGGATCCCACATTCTTAACCCTAGGTCTCTCCTCTAAATCCTCCCCCAGGATCCCTACCCTCAAATCCACTCCCTCAGGGCTTCCCTCAGGCCCCCACGTACCCCGGAACCATTCTTCCCATCCAACTTTCTGGCACCATCCCTGTGTCCTGAGCCCCGTTCCAAACTCTTCCCCCCCTCCCACCCTCCAAAAAACCGCACAACCAATCGACCCTGTCCCCAGAGCCCCTGTGTCGCCTGGGGATGGTGCCGCAACTTGTGGCTCTCCTGCGAACGGAGCACGACGGTGCCCATGAGCACATCCTGGGAGCACTGTGCAGGTGAGCCCCCAAAAATTTGGGGGTGGGGGGGTCACGGAGGGGGGAAAAACAGTACGTGGTCAAGGGAGCTTTGGGGGGAGGAATTGAGAGGCTGTGGGGGTGGCAGGGCTGGATGGCGGGGATGGGGAGGTGGCTGGGGGCAGTGCAGGAAGGGAGGGTTGAGGGCAGGGAGGTGGAGGGGGGTGAAAAGTGTGAGCTCAGGGGTTAAAGCAGGGGGAGATCAGGCCCTAGGCTTACAGGGAGGGGTCTGGAAAATGATTTGGGGGGGGGGGGGGGGGCTTGTCTTCATCCACTCTTCTTGTGCTCGTCCCCCTTCCAGTTTGGCCTCAGATTTTCCAAAGGTGATCCAGGAGTGCCGTGTCCCCGACCTGAGGCTGGAGGAGCTGCTGCGGGAGCGCCGGTGCCTCCTGCAGGGCCGAGAGGAGTTCCAGGTGTTGTGGGGGGGGGGGGGGTCATAGAGTGGTCCTGGGTTTAGTTTTTCTTTGGGGGAGGGAAAGGAGGGAGGCTGACCGCAAGGGATCCTTTCGTGCAGGAGGAGTTGGAGTTCTGCGAGCGGCTGCTGCAGCTCTGCTTCGAAACCCCCACTGAGGAGAGCACAATGGACCGGTGACCATGGAGACCCCCCCAAATCAAGGAGAGCAGCACGGAACTCTTCCTTAGAGACACCGCGCTGAGAACAGAGAGAACCATGGGCTGGTAACCAGCGTGGGGAGATAATAAAGGTTTGCTCCTGTTCAGACTGCGCTTATGGTTCCTGTGGGAGAGGAGGCAGCCGTGTGACGTCAGAGTTTGTGCCGTACGGCGCGCAGTGACGTCATTGTCTGTGCTGGGGGAAGTCGACCCGCAGCACCCCGTGCCGGCGAGGCGTTCAGCACCGCCATGCTGGACAGCGCCGGTGGACGGAGCTTTGAGGGGGCGTGGCCTCCTAACGTATCGTGCAGCTGTTGGAGGGTTGTTGCCACGTGACCAACCGCTGCGAGTGGGCGGGACCTCAACCCGTTGCCACGCAGACGGCATCTGTTTATCCTTTCCCATTGGCCAGGCCGTTCCGGTGGGCGTGGTTCGCGCCGTTACTACGGAGACCGCTCCGCTCGTTACCGTCCTCGCTCTCCCATTGGCCGCGGCTTTCCCGGTACCGGCGGCAGTGCGCTTCCCATGGCGGCGGCGCTGGAAGCGGCGCTGGGCACGGCGTGCTGCTGGGGGTTTTCCCCGGCTCTCGATCTCCACGAGCACGGTGAGCTCTGCCGGCATCCCAGCCCGGTTCCCCCCCAGAATCCCCTCGCTGGGTTTTTGTTTCCCGGTAACCCCGGATTTTTCCCAGTCCCGGACGCCGGCGGGGGCGATGTGACGGCGCTGCTCGTGGGGGCGGCGGAGGGGCGGCACCTTTTGCTCACTGTCTCACGGGCGCACCGGGAGCCTCGCTCCGCCGTCACCGTACGGTTACCGGGAGGGGGAGGCGGGGGGGCGGTTACCGGTCGGGGTCGCTTAACGGCTGCTCTCCCGGTCACCGGGTGGCCCCGCCGCAGATCTTCGTGGCCGAGCAGCGTCCCGAGACGGTGGCTCGGCAGCTCCTCTTCCTTCTCCTCGCCACCACCGAACCTGCGGGGAGCACCGGACTGCGGGGTAACGGGGAGCAACCGGGAATCGGATAACTGGGGGGAAGAGCGGGGGGCGCGTTCTGAGCCCGCTCTGCCCGCCCGCAGCCCGCGCCACCGCCCTCCTGGAGCTGCTGGGGTCCGTCCGCCTCCGCCCGTCCACCGCCCGGCTCCTGGAGGGCGCTGCGAGGCGGCTGCGGCGGTGGGTGATGGAGAGGGGGGCGGAAGAGGAGGGACCCCCCCCGGAGGTGGAGCTGATGAAGGTAGGAGGGGGGGTGGGGGAGGTTAAGAGGGTGTTA